TTTGGGACCAGCCTGGGCAACATAGCAAGACCCCACCTCTACAAAAAATTTTTAAAAACCCAATAGGGCTGGTGGCACATTTCTCCTGTACTTGCTGGAGTTGCCCTCCTCCAACTCAATAGGTCTCCGGATGATCCTGTGGTGGCCTCCACCCCTGTCTGCTGTGACCCAGGGCTCACCAGGGATCAGGTACCAGGTGATGTTTGTGGAGGGAATGAACCCTTGGTTTAGAAACCTTCCTGGTCCCCACCACCAACTCCCAGTGCTGTTCCTAGGAGAAAGGAGAGGGACCCGTCCTTGAGCTTGCCGGTGAGGAGAGTATTGGAGCCATGGGAGGGCTACAGAGGCTGGGAGAAGGCAGGTGAGGGAGACAGAGGCAGCTTCTGAGTGGACGTGGAAGGGGTAGAGGGAACAGAGAGTGCAAAGGCTCAGAGGCAATAGCATAGATCAAGATGGTCCATGAGCCCAGGAGCCCAGGGACAGGTGGGGATAGGGCAGCAGGGGCAGGACAGGGTCTCCAGAGACCTGGGAAATGGTGTGACCTTGGTCGTCTGGGAGGAAGGTGCCGCCCAGGAGAACAGCTCAGGGACCAGCCTCGGCTGGGATTGGGGGCGGGGCAAAGGCCACCTGGCCAAGGGTGTTCGTGGGTGGTGGTGGCGGTGATAGTGTGTTTATCTCTCTCAGGCATAGACCTAGGAGTGGAATTGCTGGGTCATATAGAAACTTCATGTGTAACTTGCTGAACCCCATTTCTCTTTCTTTTTTATAACAGACATCGGGCAAGAATCTTTTTTTTAAATTTGTTTTTCCTTTTTTTTTTCTTCTTTAATATTTTTTATTTTTTAGTAGAGATGGGGGGGGTCTCACTATGTTGCCCAGGCTGGTCTCGAACTCCTAGCCTCAAGCGATCCTCCCGCCTCGGCCTCCCAGAGTGCCGGGATAACAGACGTGAGCCACTGCGCCCGGCCTGGATCCTATTTCTTAACCAGACATTCAAGGCCCTTCGTGTCGCATCCAACTGACTTGGTTTCCCGCTGGGCCACTACATATTCCTCCGTCAAAGGCCACCGAGGGTTGAAGCGCTGACACGCTTCTGTTCTGCCAGGTTCACGGCCAATGCCTGAGCCCCCACCTTCTCTACCTACCTCTAGAAACGAAAGGGCCGACACCAGGCATAGGAGGCCGCCGCTCTGCCGGGTGGGAATTACGGATTTAGAACCTTGCTGGCCCCAGCCCATGCCAAGGGCGCATGTCCTACGGGGCCCGGCCTGGGCTGTCCTCTCTGCCCCCTGGGCTCCGGTTAGCCTCCTTCCAGGCGTCCTCGGGGTCTGGCTGGCTTTGCCTTAACCCTTGCGGTGGCTGCAACCTCTTGCCCTGGGCCCCCGCAACTGGGTGAGGCTGCGGGCAGGTACCTTGTCTTTTTAGGGTTCCCCGCGGGGCACTGCAGAGGAGCCCCAAATGTTTGTGGGCCACAAGGCCGTGACCTGTTAGGGAGTTAGGGGAGAAGGCAAGGCCATCCGCGTCTTCCCTGCAGGTCTGTGTCTCTGGACAGACCCCACGTCACCTCTCTGCGGCTGGGTAGGACGGGACAGGATAGGAAAACCTGTTCCGCCCACGTCCTGGGGTGCAGAAGGGAGAAGGAATCGGGGCTCCTCTGACACCCTGCAGAGACGATTTGCTCCTTCCTGGGAGACAGGGCATAGTCTGGGATGACTCCTTCTGCAGACAGGGAAACTGAGGCACCTGCGGGGGCGGGGGGAGATCGACCTTCGGCAAGGTCACAAGGCCAGGGCAGCTGCGATGCCATCCTCGGGTCTGCGGCCCGGTGTTCAGACAGGAGGCCCAGGCGTTGAGTCACCGGTGGCCGGGAACCGCCCTCACCTGTGCCGACTCCGGAGGGGCCTCCCCAGCCGCCTGCCCTTCCTCCCCCGGGAAGCCTGGGCAGAAACCCGAGACCGGGCTCCAGGTCCAGCTGCCAGGGGGCCCGGCCTCTCCCTCCGTCTGCCGGGCAGGCTGCCCCGCTGTTGTCACAGGGACGCAGAACAGGTAGCTCCTGTGCCGCCCTCAACCCACCTGGCCTGTTGCTCCAGGTGCGGCCTCCAGGCCCCCGGGGGCTGGAGGGAGGGGGGAGGGCTCCAGGCCGCCTGCTGGTTTCGCTTTGAGCCGGGCCCTTCCTCTTCCTCACCCCCATTCCGCGCCGGACCCCCCGCTTTCTGGGAAACCCTGCGGGTCGGTCGCAGCTTCCTCTGAACTGGCCTTCACCAGGCTGGGAGCTTGAGGCCCCAGAGGGAGGTTGAGTTCCGCCTCCAGGACCCGAGGCTTCCTGCCGGTCACACACCCCCCTGCGTGGCTGGGTGTGTACAGCTTCAGACTGCCCACCTTCCAGAAGGTTCTGTGGCTGCCCCTGAGAGGGGCTCCCTCCCCCCACCGTTCTCTGGGGTGGGGCCATCCTGGGCACTGCAGGTGCTGAGCAGCGTCCCTGCTCCCACCCACCCCGTGCCAGGAGTCCCCCTCCCAGGTTTGACAGCCACAGATGTCTGCCAAGCGTCCCGTAGGTGGGGGGACAGAACATTCCTCGCTGAATGACATCTAGGAGGGGACGGCCCACAGAAATGACTTAGATCTGTGATCTGTGCTGGCTGATACAGCAGCCACAGGTCACGTGGCCAAATACAGATTTCAAAGACTGTGCAAAAAAAAAAGAGTAAAATATCACACTAAGAATCTTTCATATTGATTCCAAGATGAAATGGTTAATATTTTGGCGATATTAGGTTAAATAAAATATACAATCAAATCAACTTCACCTATTCCCCTCTCCTGTTTTAAACGTGGCTACCGGGAAATTTATATCGTGTCTGGGGTGTGATGTCACATGCTGGGTCCACAGTTGTAGGGACCGGGGACAGGATGCGGGCAGGACACCACAGAGACCTGCCTGGAATCTCATCCTCTGGATGGCCCCTGGCTCTGCAGACCTATTTCATTTTATTATTATTATTTTATTTTTAAAGACAGGGTCTCACTCTGTCACCCAGGCTGGAGTGCAGTGGTGTCATCATAGCTCACTACAGCCTCCAACTCCTGGGCTCAAGCGATCTTCCTGCTTCAGCCTCCCAAGTAGCTGGGATTACAGGTGTGTGTCACCACGCCCAGCTAATTTTAATTTTTGTAGAGATGGGGTCTTGCTCTGTTGCCCAGTCTGATCTCCAACTCCTGGCCTCCATTGACCCTCCAGTTGGCCTCCCAGAGTTGATGTTTTTTACTGGCCTCATCCAGAATGTGACGGTCAGAGGAGGAAATGCAGCCGTCCTGGAGCTGGGTCGGGTCCCATCTGGGGAGAATTCCACAGGATGAAGCGGGCGGTCACCTGTGACCCCAAGCTTCATAAGTCAGGTGTTTAAACAAACCCTGCCCGACATGCTGCTGGCCGGCAGGAGGGTGCAGCAGCCCGGACACTTGCGTGGAGCTGGGTGACTCTGTGGCTCGTCTGGGCTCTGCTAGGGCCTCCAGACTGACCGAGGGCTGCACGCACCAGAGAAGCCCGTCACCGGGACTGCACAGGGGCTCCCGGCCAGGGCGGGAGGGGTGTTCCCAGGTTGGGGGGCCGCCTTTGGCCAAATTGCTGTGCTTGTGGTGACAGCTCCCTGGTCCCAGAGGGACCCCAAGCCCAGCTGTCGGCTAAGAGGGCCCTTGGCGACCCCTCGCCACCCGCAGAGCCTGCGGCCAGCTGTCCTGGGTTGTTCCTGCCCCCGAGGGCCCCCACGTCCTTCACTCCTTGCAAACACCAGAGGCAGCCCAGAGACACCCCTGTGACCGGCAGCACGAGGCCCCTCCGACCCAGGTGCTGGAGCCCGGTAACACGTTCACCCCTCTCCGCTCTGAGGGTGCTCCTGGGGGACTGGTTACCCACAGGGCAGCACCTTCAAAACTTCTAGTCATCTTTACTATTTTTTTTTTTTAATCCTGTTAGGCTTTGGTAGAAAACCATGAAGGGACAGAAATCTGGAAAGCTGTTTGCAGGAGACACCGACTCCTCTCCTCTCTGGTGTCTGCAGGAAGAAGCAGCAACACTTGAGACTAGAAGAGTCCCCCTAAGAAGAAAAGGACAATCCAGTGGTTCTCAGAGGACCACAAGCCCCTGCTTTCTGTTCAGCCTTCTCCAGAAATACAGGCCAGCAACCCCTCCCCTGCAATTTGCCCACAGATAAGTATCAGCTCGTTTCTAGTCTTCAGGAAGTATGGGTGTGGGGGGAGGTTCACAGCCTGAGAGCTCAGAGGGACCCTAGAAACCGCCCAGCCCCCTACACGTCCAGCCCTGAGGCAGGACTTCAGGACGCAGCCCTGAAGGGAGAATGGGCCCTGGGGAACCACAGTCCAGAGCCTGCCAGGAACCCAAAGACACGGGGCACCAGGACACGACCTCACCCGGTTTCGTCTGCAACCCACTATGGACGAACGGTTCTAGGGCTCGAAAGAGTGACGTGGTCTGGTGGCCGCTTCTGATTTGCTGGGCGAGCAGAGGTGACAGAACCACCCCCCCCTTGCCGCAGGCACAGGGGCAGCGCAGGCCTTATCTACCAGATCTGCAGGGTTTTCAACCGCAGGGCTTGGAAACCCAGCGCTTCCTGTGTGGCAGCCGGGCTGCCGCGGCGGGAGCTGGGAGCTTCTGCTCTCTGAAGCCCGGGGACAGGGAGTGGGGCGTGTGCTCAGGGATAGTTGGGGAGCGGGCTCCATCTTGACGCGAGGGCCTTGCTCTGCTCTTCCCAGGGAGCAGAGATGGGGGACAGCCACCCGGGGACACGAGGCGGCACTCCCCTCTCTCGTGAAAACCTTCAGCGTCTGGGGGTTCGCTCCCGTGACGAAAGGGGCGGGGGCAGCTTTCCCCTCGTCCTCCTGCCCCAGGGCCGCCCCCTGGGAAGCTCCTCCACTCTGGGGCTGCGGCGAAGCCCCCCGACACCCCAAAACGAACGGAACGAAGAGTTACAATAGGCACAGACTGCGTTTTCTTTCCCTGTTTTGTTTTTTTTAAACCTAAGTAAGCAGGTTCTGAGACAACATGAGCAGCGTCGCCCGTCCCCAGGGGCCAGAGGTGCCCCGGCCGGGCCAGGCGAGAGGAGGAACCTGTGTCCCCGCGTGTGCGTGCGCCTGGCCAGGCGCTCTCCACAGAGGGGGGCTGGGGGTGGGAGGGGCCGGTCTGTCCTCGGCTGGAAGGGCGCGGAAGGGACGGTGGACAGGTCGCCAGCGGGCCGCGGGAGCCGGGCCGCCGTCACACGGCGGTGCGCGTGGGCGTGCTGGGCTGGTTCAGCCGCAGGGTCTTACACAACCAGCCGGCAAAATCCACCTCTTCCACCTCGGACCGCTTGATGAAGGTGTGGTTCTGGAACGCAAGGGGCCGTGAGCGCGGCCTGGGCTGCAGCAGAGCGGCCCTGCCGGCCAGAAAGGACCCCCGGCCCCCCGGCAAAGGGAGGACACACTCGAGGCAGGAGAGGGACACCCAGAGAAGGGGGTGACGGCCCCCTCCACCCAGGGAGTGGGGACAACACGGTCCCCACAGCGTGGGCTCCCAGAGGCGAGGGTCAGGCCACGGGAGGCTCACGCAGGCCTGGGGTCTCCCCCCTCCCCCGGCACTGCGGACGTTGGGCCGGGATCACTCGAGGGTGGGGCGTCCTGGGCCTGCAGGTGCTGGGCAGCGTCCCTGCCTCCACCCACCCCATGCCACGAGCACCCCCAGTTGTGACAAGCACAGATGTCCCCAGACATTGCTTGGTGTCCCCTGGGGTCGGAATGGCCCGGGGTGAGGATGTTGGCTCTAGAGCGAGGCTCTCCCCACACCGACCAGCCCGGCAGCCGCCAGCCACGGGAGGCTCTGGGGCCCCAGGAATGTGGCCCGTGAGGTTCAGGTCGGCGCAGGTGTGGGGACGAAGCCAACGTCCTGTTAGGTCCCCAGGTTCCACGGTTACCAGAGTCACGAGTGACGTTTAGGACGCTGGCTACGGAGCGAGCTATTTCCCCGTGAGCGCCCTTCTCCACGCACACACGGTGTTTTCGCAACGCACGGCGACCACCGCGTCAGTGCTCACTGACCAGACGGGAATGAGCTGGGGCTTTCTAGAAAACCAGGGGATGCAGACCCCTCCCACACAGGGCTCGGGCCCGGACTTTCTACTCAGACGGCAGCCGACAGCAACCAGCGGGGATCACAGTGTCAGCGCGGCTAACGGGCGTGGGGTCAGATGGGATGGGGTGGGCTAGGCACCGAGGCGGAGGCCTGCGGGCGGGCAGCAGCCGCCGGGGACGGGAGGAAGTTGTGCAAAGGTCCTGAGGAGGGGAGGGGTGGGCCGGGAGGAAGAGGGGGTGAGCAGGGACGGGAAGGAAGGGGTTCGACCCTGTGGGGCCTGCTGGCCTTGGGGAACCGTGTGGGAACCCACGGAAGGGCGTGGCACACTTTTAAAAAACGCCATGTTCCGGCAACCCTAAGATGCTCGTTTCGTGCCGCTGAACACCTGAGATTGAGAGTGAGCCTCCCGGCTGCGCCGGCATCTTTGCTTCCTCACAGGCACGTGGGACGGCGGCCGTCTGGGAGGGACAGCGGCCGTCTGGGAGGGATAATGTCTTAGACGGGGTCTCGCTCTTGCTCAGGCTGGTCTCAAACTCCTAACCTCAAGCGACCTTCCTGCCTCGGCCTCCCAGAGTGCTGGGATCACAGGCGTGAGCCGCTGTTCCTGGCTCGAAGGGTGGGGATTTAAAGAAGGGACACGGGGACCACCCCTTCTAGGGGCAGATGCCCGACCTGCCGAGGGAGGGTCTGGCCAGGAGAGCACCCCAAGTCTGCGAGGAGGAGCTGGAGGGGAAGGGGGGCACACCGGGGCGCTGGAGTGCCCCAGGCCCGAGAGGGGCGCTTGCCTGCCCAGGGTACGCAAACAGGGAAGGTCAAGCTGTCCCTGGGGACACAAGGGAAGGTGCCCAGGAGCTGTAGGCCATCTCCAGCCACACCCGTGGCCTGAGGCGGGGCAGCCCGCAGCTCAGAGCTCACAGCCAACCCCAAGCAAACACCCTGCGTCACCCAGGATCTGGGGGGACCCGGCCGGGCCTGAGCGGCTCCTGCTAACGGATGAGGGAGACCCAGAGGGTCCTCGGCTGGGCCCCGTGAGCCGCGGGCCTCACTCACCATGAGGATCTTCAGGTCGGCACGTTCCGCCGGGTTCTTGATCAGGCTGGGTTCCCGAGGTGGCGCAGGGAGGGAAGGACATAAGACAGGGCGGTGAGTTGGTGGCTCTGGTGGGACCTGTCTTTTGACCTGTGCTGGGCAGCCTGTGCCAGCCCCGTCCTGGTGCCCAGCGCAACAGGGGTCTGGCCCTGGGGCTCAGAACTCGTCCTGCCCCTTCTGGGACAAGGGGCCCCAACTCTGCCCGCCTTGGTGCTGGGCATGTCGGGGTGAGGGTCTGGGGGCAGAAACAGTGGGACAGGGAAGAGGGTGGGAATCCCCTGCCTGCCCGGCTGGGCAGAAGATCGACAGCAACCACAGCTCAACTTTTAATAAAAACCCCGAGGTTGGGAGTGTGAATGTCAAAATGGAACTTTTCCCTTAAAAAAAGCAGAACTGTCTAAAGGCAGCAGCCAAAACCACTTCAGGGCTGAATGCGGGTTCTTGAGAATGGAAAAGACCCTCACCTGGACATAAATGTACACAGGGCCTGCCAGAGGGTCGTGCAAAGGGCCTGCGGCACCTTCGCCCGCAGAAGCACCACTGCAGCTGGGGGTCACGCAGTGCGCCCTACGTGCAGCCTGGACCGTGGCCCAGCAGCCCAGGAAAGGGGGCTCGGGTGTCCCACAGAATCCTGCCACTGGGCCGGGTTCCTGCCAGGCAGGCCCCGCCCAGGATCCGAAAGCAATGGCACATCTGGGTCACGGCCCGGGATCGGGCACCCGCCCCGCCCGCCTGCGGCTGAGCCCAGCACCTCACCATTTATTTACAAACTCCTGGAAGTCCGGGGTGAACACGCCGTTGGGCAGCTTGGGAGGAGGCTGTGGAGGAGAAGACAGAGACGGTGGGGTTGGCCCCGCGTGTCCTCGGGGACACCCCGAGGACCTCTCCCGGCCCTGGCCGTCCTGCCCCCTGCGCCCTTCCAGAGCTGTGTCCTCCCGGGAGCTCGTGCACAGGGACAGCAGCTGGGTGGGTGAGGGGGGCGGGCCGCGCTCGCCCTCGTTCTGTGGACAGGACCACCCTGTGTCACCCGCCCCCGAGAGCGACCCTGCCGTCTCAGAAGAGCCACCGTCCAGGCTCCGCGTTGGCAGCCGGTGCCGGGAGCCGGGCCCAGCGCACACGCCCCGGGGCAGGGTGGCCGTGGAGGCGGCTGCCAGGTGCGGGCAGAGATGTGTCCCCAGAGCCGCCCCGCCCTTTTCTGTCGTGTCAGGGAGCCTGCTTGGAGCGGCTCACCTCGACACCCCACCCCAGGCCAGGCCTCGCCCTGCCGCTGCGCCCGGCTCCAAAGGGCCACCAAAGACACGCAGAAGCCCACGGAGGGCCCAGGGAGGGGCCCGGCCTCCTGATGCGGCCAGCACTGTGCCCCGCGCCCCCTCCGCAGGCTCGGCACGGTGGGAACACACACGCCACCCACTCTCGGGGTGGCCACAAGGGTTAACTGAGTGGGACCCGTGGCGCACACTCAGGACAGCAAGGGGCGCCTGCTCCTCCTGGGAGCTCTGTGCCGCCCTCCCAGAGACAAGGGCCACCCGGACCCCCATCCAAGGGGGGCTCACTGACGAGCTCAGGCCCGTGGGCTCCGAGGCACTCAGAGGAAAAGACGGGGCCACAGGGCTGCGGCCTGGCTCCTCCACTGAGCCTTGGGCTACAGTCGCACGTGTCCCTCTGGACTGGGGGAGGGGCGGGCCTGAGTGGCACCTCGGGGGATGGGGGGCAGGAGACGCACGTCAACACCTGACGCCCGCCTGCTGGAGTGTTCTGCGTCTCCCCTACACCCTCCTCGCCCAAATCCACAAACGGTCCAATTCTCTTCTTTCCGGTAACATTCCTGCGGGAACGGCTGGACTGGGCCAGCGTGGCGGCGTGTGGGGCGGCAGGTACCAACCTCATTCACGATGTAGTCCAGGAGCTCGAAGATGGCCATGGCTGGCCGGCTGTCCATGCCGTGACCTGCCGGGAGGACAGAAACACGGTGAGACGGCGGGAGACCTCGTGCCTCTCTGAGGGCAGGGTCTGCCGTGTCGAGCGCAGCCTCGTGCCCTCCTCCCTGCGACGGCCGGGCCAGAGGCAGGTGCGCCGGGCCCCGGACACAGGCGCCCCTGCTCCTGAGCTCGCCGCCCTGCGAGTAACTTCCCGCCTGAGCCTCTGGAGTTTAAAAACAACAACGAAAAAGCCACAAGTCGCACGGGCAGTTTTTGAGAAGTCCCACATTCGGCATCATGCTGCTCTCAGGCTGTGCCAAAGTCATCACCCGCCGCGCTCCGGCAGGGCGGGGGGAGGGTGCCGCCCGCCCCAGGGAAGGACAGCAGCGTGACCTTGCATGGAGCTGCCAGTTGTGACGGTGGCAGACCCAGGTGCTGCTCAGGACGGGAGCCTGGCGGGGTGGCTGCCCCATGTCTGAGACCCGGCTGCCGGGGCTGGGGTTGGCAGCCGAACTTTCGCCTTCCGCCCTGTCCTGAATGAAAGGGGCTGGCTGGCTGGGATGCAGGCAGGGAAGGGGCATCGAGGCCACTTGGGACCTGGGGCTTGGCGGGGCCAGAAACAGGCCGAGGACAAAGACCCAGGAGACTCTCCCTCGGGTGAGCTCAAGTCACCCAAGCAGGTTGCAGGGAAGGAACTGGGCGTAAAATCACTGCTAAAATCTCCACCTGACAACCCAGTGTCCGACCACTGGTGAGTGGGTCAACAGAACGTGGTCCCTGCACACGCTGGAGTATCACTCGGCCATGACAAGGGACGAGGCTGAGACACAGGCCACAGCGCGGAGGGACCTTGAGGACATCGTGCTCAGTGAGAGATGCCAGACACAGAAGGACACACAGTGTGAGACTCCGTTTATAGGAAACGTCCAGAACAGGCAGATCCACGGACACGTGGATTCATGGTCACCGGGCCCTGGGGAGGGACTGGTGATGGGGACGGGGCTTCCTTTTAGGGTGGTGAGAATGTTCTGGAATTAGATAGACGTCACAGTTGCACAGCAACCCAAACCCACCAAATCATATCCCTTAAATGAGTGAATTGCAGGGCACGTGAATTATATTTCAGTAAACTTGTTACTAAACCAACCAACCACAGTCCGCTACATGGTCCTTTGGACTTTAACTCAACCTTCTTCCTATCGCCCAACTTTAAAAGAAATCACAGGTGTCCTAGAGCTGTGTCCTGCGTCTGCCCCCCAGCAGGGCCTTTCCCCTGGAGTGATCGGAGCGCCGGGCTGGAACATCTCCGGCGGCGGGGAGCTCCCGGCTCGCGGGCGCCTGCTCTAAGCACTGGATTGTTCTCTGGGAGCCCAGCTGTCCCCCGGGGCCTGGGGCCTTCCGCTCCCTCCCAGACGGCGCCTTCTGTGTGCCGGGGCCAAATCCAACCTGTCGCCCAAGGAAACTCAGTCAAGCCTGGAAGGCTCCCTGGAAGGCTTGGCCAATTACGGCAGCATGCTCACCGCGGGATCTAGGCGGTAGGGACAAGGGTGTCACTGTGCAATTCTTTCCACATTGCTGTAAGTTTCTGAGCATTTTCGGGATCAAATGTTGGAAAACCAACCAACGGAAGGCTTGGCCGAAGGGTCACGCTGCTAGAGCCCTGCAGCTGGCAGCAACAGGTGCAGCTGCCCTGGACGTAGCAGGTCTGGGCATTCGCTGCTGCCAGCTCTGTCCCCAGAAACCCCCGGACCATCTGAGGACTGCTGGCCGCAGCTAGCACCATCCTGGGGGGACAGGTGGCTCTGACAAGGGCCAGAGGGGAGGCAGCTGCCGCCCCTGGGAAAAGCAGTCCCTGCGGAGGTCACCGCCCGTCCAGACCGGAAGTTGCAGACTCAGACCATACCACTGACGGGGCGCCCAGGGGGTCTTGGCCGAGGCGAGACGCTGTGGGGCTCTCCTTCCGCCCCATCGACCATGGGCCGGCCAAATATGGCCTCCAGCTCCTTGGCGTCGGGCGGGGGGATGGGGTACCTTCCGATGGACAGCTCCACCAGGGACAGGCCCATGCTCCAGATGTCGGACTGCACTGAGTAGTGTGTGCCCTGCAACCGCTCCGGCTGTGGAGAGAGGCAGGGAAGATGCCAGGGGCGGGGACTGCAGGTGAAACCTGGGCTTGCCCAGTTCCGGCCACCCCTTTCTGGGCTGACGAGCCGTGGCCAGAGCAGTTCCACCCCCTGCTCACCCACCCGCCGCGCTTGCTGGAGAGACCTCGGCCGAGGCCGGGCGCTGGAGCTGACCGCAGCTCCCGGGGAGCCCACGGTGCAGGGACGGCCACGTCCCTAAGACACACACTCCTCAGGACCTGCTCCTGTGACCAGCTTGGCAGGTTCCCGGCCCCCTAGTCATGGCCTAAATCACCTCAGAGTCCCGTCTCTCGGTCGGGAAGTTACGGAAGGGCCCGCGTAGGCCCTGCCGTGGACAGAAAGCTAAGCGACGAGGGGATCGAATCCGAACTCCGAGAGGAAGGGGAAACGCGGCAGAACAGAGAGCAGATCGACCGGGCAGCGCAGGCTGCCTGAGCCCTCCGGAGAGCGAGGCCGAGCTGACCGCAGGGGCACGGGCAGGGCCGAGACGCGGAAACTCACAGACATGTACGATCGCGTGCCCACGAAGGAGTTGGCCATGGAGTCGATGAGCTGCCCGCTCACCCCGAAGTCGCACAGTTTGATCTCGCCCCTGGAGTTGACCAGGATGTTGGAGGGCTTCACGTCTGCGGAGACAGGCCAGGGAGCAGGGGGCTCGCTGCCCACCCGCCGCCCCCTCGACCCCGGGGAGGGCCTGGGCCACGCTTACCTCGGTGCATGATCTGGTGCTTCTCCCGGAGGTACGCCAGGCCCCGGAGCACCTGCAGGGGCCGTGGGATGGGGGTCAGCGCAACAGTGGCACGAGGGGGCTCTTCCCCTGACCCGAGCGACCGCAGAGCACAGGACCCGCCAGGGCAGCCCTGTCTCAGGTGCGCGGGCTCGCCAGGGCGGGGCACAGTGACGCCGCCCCATGCAAGCATGGACCCCGTGATTCCCATACGACCGCCCACGGCAGAGGCAGACGCCACTGTGGCCTGGGTCATGGGACGGAGCTGAGACAGAAGCTAGGACGGCAGCCCAGGGCCCCGCCAGGGAGGGTCTGGTGTGCGCTGGGCGGCCGGGTCCAGCGCATTCAGCCGACAGGCACCATGTGCCGAGCACTGGGGTCCCAGGCCCGTGCTAAGGGCCCCCAGACCGAAAGGTTAAGGCCTCCAGGGCCGTTTCACCGAGCTACAACGGGGAGAGTCCTGGGGGGACCTGAGGCCCAGCAGGGACGTCCCTTGGAGGGCGGGACTTACCGCAATGCTAACCTTCCCCAGGATCTCCTCGGGAATGCGCTTGGCTGCTTTCAACACCTGGTCCAGGGAGCCCCCGTCCTGGGGTCACAAGGAAAAGCGGTCGGTCAGCAAGGGACAGCTGCCCTTCCCCAGGTAGCACAGGGAAGCATCTCCCGCTCTCGGCGAGGCGGGGGCTACCTCCCCCTAGGAGGCAGAGACCTCGGGCCGCTGTGGCCCATCAGGGCAGGGAGGGAACAGGACCAGGGTGCCAGCGTGTCCCCTTCCCAGAACTGGTCTCGTGACCCGGCCTTCCCGAGGTCACTGGGGCAGGGGCTCTGCTCCAGTTGTGGCCCACACCCGGATGGGGGCACCGATAGCCCTGGGGCCGGCCTCATGTGCCCGCCAGGCTCCATCCTGTGGGGCTTCCTGGGGTCTGTGCCCAGCAATCGAGGGGCAGGGGAGTGTGAGGACACAGCCGCCGGGCCGCAGATGCGAGGCAGGTCCAGGCCCCCTTGTGGGGCTTCCTGGCCTCCTTGCTAACTTCGCGTCTGGGCACCTGCCTGTCCCTGGCCCCCCGTGAGGAAACTCAGGGCACAACTGATGGGGCACCTGAGGGCGTGTTCCCCGCAGGAGTGACACCCATGCAGCCAGCGCAGGAAGTGGCAATACCTCGGCCCCTCGCCCCGTTATCCTGCCATCTCCCGCCCGCTGTGCCGCGTGTCCCGTGAAGGATGGTGGCACCCCCTTGACACCCGGGTGTGGCCTGGATGCCCTGAGTGAACCAGGGAGCAGAAATTCACTGCCCTGCCCGAGCCTCCTCGGCAACCAACCTGGAGACCAGAACCCGGGAGTCGGGGGGCTGCCCAAGGTGCCTGCGCAGAGGTTGAGGCTCCCGGACACGCCCAGTGGCCACTCCCGGGACCAGGGGTGACAGGGCTGAGTTCTTTGATGGGGAGGAAAGCAGAACTGAGGCTGGGGAGGCGACGCCAGGGGTCGGGACCTCCCCACCACGCTGCTCTAGCACTCCCGCCCTGCGATGCCTTCCACTTCGCTTGGCAGCAGGAGGCAGGGAGAGGCACCAGGACTCGGGGAGGCCCGCGTGTCCCCTCTCTGGCCGCTTCTGCCCGGCCACACTCAGTGGGAAAGTCCGTGGTGAGTTCTCGAAAACCCAACACACTCTGAGCCCTCCAGAGCGCACGTGGGACTGTCTCAAGCAGCTGGAGGGACAGACATGCTGGGACAGAGGGTGGGTGCGGCCGTGGCTCGGAAAGGCCTGGAGGAACCGCCGGGACCAGGTGTTCCGACCAGCCTGGTCTGGCCAGGGCGCTGCCCGGCCCCGCTTCCGAGTAGGGCGAGATGGGAATTATTCTGCTTTTCTCATTTTTATCAATCAACCTTACAAGAATTGAAAAAAATTGTTTTTAACTGTAATCCCTCTTCCTACCACAGCTACTTGCATTCTTACAGTGGCAATAAACAGTTGCCGAATGAGGACATTCCGGGTCACACCCCAGTTGTGACAACCAAAATGCCTCCAGACAGTGCCAGGAGTCTCCGGGGGGTGCAGAAAGGCCCCTGGCTGGGAGCCCCTGGTCTACGGCTGAGAAGACCAAGTGTGGCTGGGTAAGGAACCTGCCCGAGTCACAGAGACAGGATGTGGTACAGGAGACACTGCAACGACGCCTTGGTGACCCCAAATTACACTTTGTGTACCACCATACGCATTTATGTTGTGTGTGTGGTGTGTGTTTTACATGTTCCTGAAATTGTACCTTTATCAAGCAGGTAGTACATGAATGCATTTTTCTTATAAAGAATCCACATGTAAATAAATAACCCTCTGACCCCCCATTGGTTCCTCCCCTGAAGTGTCACTTATATTATTCTAGATCCTTTTTTTTTTTTTTTTTTGAGACAGAGTCTTGCTCTGTCACCCAGGCTGGAGTGAAGTGGTGTCATCACAGCTCACTGCAGCCTCCAATTCCTGAGCTCAAGAGATCCTCCTGCCTCAGCCTCCCGAGTAGCTGGGACTACAGGTGCCACGACCACGCCCGGCTAATTTTTCTACTTTTAGTAGAGATGAGGTCTTGCTATGTTGCTCCAGCTGGTCTTGAACTTCTGGCCTCAAGCGATCCTCCCACCTCAGCCTCCCAAAGTGTTGGGATTCCAGGTGTGAGCCACCACACCCAGTCGGAATTTTTAAAACTTTTAAAAATTTTTATTTATTTGTGTAGCTGCTTGATTTTTTAAAAGTTATTTTTAAATTTTTTTAAAATTATTTTTAACTATCACGGGCACATAATAGTTTTATATGTTCACATGGTACGTGTGATGTTTGGATGCGGGCACACAGCGTGAATTAGTCACATCGGGGTAACATTTCTTTGTGTTAGGAACACTCCAACTCCACTCTTTCAGTTAAAGCACACCCTGATTTACTGTTGGTCATAGTCACGCTGTAGTGCTATCAAATATCGTTCATTCCATCTAATTAACTGTACTTGTGTACCCGTGACCCATCCCCACTTTATCCCCCCTCCCTGCTGCCCTTCCCAGCCTCTGGTGACCGTCATTCTACTCTCTGTCTCCATGAGATCCATCGTTTTCAATATTCAGCGCCCACATGTGAGCGAGACCAGGTGAGATTTGTCTTTCTGTGCCTGGTGCATTTCGCTTCACATAACGTCCTCCAGTTCATCCGCGTGGCTGCAATGGCAGGGTGTCGTTCTTTTTTGTGGCTATATAATACTCCACGGGTGCACACGCCGTGATCTCTGTATCCACTCAGCCGTTGGAGGACACTTACGGTGATTGGGAATCTTGGCTACTGTGACTAGCGCTGCAATGAGCATGGGGTGCAGATGTCTTCCTGTCATCCGCAAACAAGGATAATTTGAACTCTTCCTTTCCAGCTTGGAGGCCCTCTGTTTCCTTCTCTTACGCGATCACCCAAGCCAAGACTCCCAGGGCTGTGCTGAGTAACAGTGGTGACAATGGGCACCCTGTCTCCTGCCAGATCTTAGAGGACAGGCTTTCGGTTTCTCTCCACTCGGTGGGACACTTGCTGTGGGTCTGTCACATATGCCTTTCATCACCCACATTTATTTTGAAATCACAGACTCTATCAGTGGAAATTGTGGGCGTGTGGGCTATAGCTAAACACGTCTTTTTACTTGTGTGTTGTCTACACAGTCCACTATCCCCAGCTTGTTATAAAAGCGAAGTGGAGCCAGGCACGGTGGCTCATGCCTGCAATTCCAGCACTTTGGGAGGCCAAGGCGGGAGGATCGCTTGAGGCCAGGAGTTCGAGACCAGCCTGGGCAACACAGTGAGACCCCATCTCTACAAAAAAATTGAAAGGAAAAAAAAAAAAAAAAGCAAGGCAAAAACATTAAACTCAGAGTTCTAAAGAATGAGCCTGACAAATGCAGTCAGGATGGCTCCCGTCTCCCTCTTGCATGGGGTGTGGTCAGAGCCCGCCGGGGTGGGTGCCGGCTCTGGAAGCAGTGTCTCAAACTCCCCAAGAACAAAAGGCTCCCCCTTTCCCGCATGGGAGAGAGGAGGCCTAAGAGCTAACCCACGATGTTAATAGGGGAGTCGGCGGAGCTCCTGAGCAGGGGGGAGGGAGAGGATGCCACAGCACAGAGGGGACAGAGAGGGGCCACCTCAGACCACAGAGTGCTTCCTCATCCTCACGTCACCCTTTGATTCTCACCCGCACCATGACTCTGCGAGGTGGGGCGGAGGCGACCCTCCTTCCCAGGTGAGAAAGGGGCCGGGCGTCTCATCACACGGCTGAGAGGGGCCCTTGGTGAAATACGTTTCCTGTCTTTCTTGCAAAACTGTCAAAGAGGACAGCGCATTTCCAGGGCGGGACGGAGGCCGACGTGCCTGAGGCCTTGTCGCAGCCTGGTTTTGCAAGGGGAGGCCTGCAGCGGGTGGTCCGATACCTGGCGGGCTTGGTTTGGCGGGAGGCCCTGGGCTCTGACCACTTCTGCTTTCGTTACGCTCCATCCCACCCACTTCTGGGCTTCGAAACCAGAGTGTCTTAACAAGGGGGCACATCGGAATGCACGTGGCGGTGTCCGTGCTCCACCCTAGATGTCGTGATCTGCGGGTCTGAGCCGGGCCAGGCACGGGCTGCCCTGGAGCAAGCTCGGGTGGCCACGTCCTCTGTGCAGGGCGATTTGGAAACCGATCCAATTTTAGTCGCATGTCCCCTTGAAGCCAGCAACGCCACCGCAGGGCTCCACCCCACAGGTGCGCCTGCTCCTGTGCAAGGACACCCGGTGCAGTGTGACTCGAGATGGGGCAGGGGCTGGACACGACCTAAGCGTCCCCAGCAAGGGAGCGTTTAATGAGTCCCCATGCGGTCCACACTCGCGCGGGAACACTACACAGAGGGTGGCAGGACGGAGACAGCTCCCTCACACTGTCAGGGAATGATTCCCTGATGTAGCGAGTGAAGCAGCCAAGTTGGGCAGAGCGTGTGAATGTTTAAAAATCTGACCGGGCGCGGTGGCTCACGCCTGTAATCCCAGCACTCCGGGAGGCCGAGGTGGGAGGATCACTTAAGCTTACGAGTTTGAGACCTGCCTGGGCAACAGAGCAAGACCCCGTCTCTTCAGAAAATTAAAAAATTAGCCAGCCATGGTGGTGTGCACCTGCAGTCCCAGCTGCTCGGGAGGCTGAGTCGAGAGGATCACTTGAACCCAGGAGTTCGAGTCCAGTCTGGGTAACAATGAGAGCCCCACCTCTAAACAAATAAACACACATAAAATCTCCAAATGCATCTATAGACATAGATGTTTGCACGGGCGTCGAGGGGCCCCAGAAGGACCCCCTGGAAACTAGTGTGCTGTGGCTTCTGAGGACAAAGGCTTCGAGGATAGAGGTGGGTAGACTTTGCCCTGACACCCCCCTGCTCCACCTGAGTTCCTGGTCCTGTGCACGTGCCCCTGGTCCCAAGCCCGCGGCTCTGGGGACTCGCCCTCCAGGTCCCGGTGCGGCACTCACCATGTGCTCCATGCAGATGCTGATCTCGCCGTCACTGTAGAAGGCGCCGTAGAAGCCCACGATGTAGGGCGAGTTGCACTCGTGCAGGACCTGTAGCTCGCGGATGATCTGGTTCCGGATGGCCGGCTTGATCTCCAGGTGGATCAGCTGCAGGGGACAGACGTCAGGACCAGGCCACTCAGGGGGCCAGAACACGGGGCATGGGGTTGTTGCGGGGGAAGGGGGTGTTTGCGCCTTTTGCCCTGGAGGCGTCCACAGCAGCATTCAAGACCAGCTGAGCCATGTGGGGATCCCACTCCGAGGGGTCTGCCTTATAAAGTGTCCAGTTTTATATACTTTAAAAAGGGTGCATTGTACGGTATGTGAATTACATCCCGATAAATCTGTTAACAAAAAGCCGACGGAGCAGGTATTTCCACTGGGGTACAGCAGGAACCGTGTCGCGAGGATGCCCCGCCCCCACGTCACGCTTCAACAGAGCACCGGCCTTCCCAGGGCCCAGAGCCCCTTGGAGGGGGTGATGACACCACCTCTGCCCTTCTCTCGGCCAAGGTGGGTCTACCTGGAGCCCCTCCCCGCCCCTAGGCTGGGACCCCATGCTGAGCCCGGCGAGCACGGAAGAGCCCGAGGTCACGCCCGGGGACTGTGGCTGCCCTTCCACTCCAGTCCGAGTCCACAGAGGAAATCGTCATCGATCTACCCCAGCATTTCAGCCGGCGTGAGGAGGCACAGGACCCTCTCGAGCGATGTGGAGGAGACACTGACAACCGCCTTGAGCAACCCAAACCCACAGGCGGCGAGGCGGCAGCTGAGGCTCCGGGAGAGCGTCCCGGCTAACCCGAGGCTGTCCCTGCAGCCATCGCGATAAGATAAGACAAGACGCGACATCCACGCATCTGTCCCGGGGCAGAGCCGGGTGGTGGAGGCTGGAAAGGAAGGTCCTGGATCCAACAAACCCGTGGGCAGAGAGTCCCTTACAGGCTGGGCCAGTGGCTGAGGGAAACTGAGGACCGAGATGGTCCCTGCTTGGAGGACACACGCGGTCAGGAGGGAAGAGAAACGGGTACGACGACGTCAATGCGGCGGAAGTGCCGCCAAGGGGAATCGATCCAGGTGCTCGGGGAACAGCGGAGATATGAGGTGACATTGGGCTGGGCCTCTGAGGAAGGGCCGGAGTCGCCGCAGGGACTAGGATGGGGAGGGCGCTGGAGGCGCAGGGACAAAGGGCTGCCTGTTGGCGGGCAGGAAGGCGTGAAGGAGCGTGCGCGCTCACAGGGCCTGCGACCTTGGGAACCGTGGCAGGTTCCAGAGGCGTGTGCCCAGCGCCCCCGCCTTTCCCCAGGCAACGCCTCCTGCCCACCCCGACCCCAGCCCTCTGCTCTGACCGCCCCTCTGGTTCTCGCTTCTCCCCCAACCCTCCTGCCCAGTCGGGCTCTCTGGGGCCGCTGGGACACTCACTCCCACCGTGGGGGCCTCAGCAGGACGGACGATCACCCCAGAACCCCAGCACACTCTCTCCGCATCGGGACCACATCTGTGAGGCAACAACCACGTTTCTAAGGGGCCTGATAGTGAAGCATGGACTTTTTTTAATGTGGTTTTTGGTTTTTTTTTTTTTTGAGACGGGTCTCGCTTTGTTGCCCAGGCTGGAGTGCAGTGTCGTCATCACAGCTCACTGCAGCCTCCAGTTCCCAGGCTCAAGCGATCCTCCTGTCTCAGCCTCCTGAGTAGCTGGGACTACAGGCGTGTGCCATGGCATCCAGATAATTCTTCTGTTTTTTGTAGAGATGGGGGTCTCACCACGTTGCCCAGGCTGGTCTCAAATTCCCAGCCTCAAGTGATCCTCCTGCCTCGGCCTCCCAGAGTGCTGGGATTACAGGTGTGAGCCACCGCACCCAGCCCTGATCTCACTTTTAATGGCTCTGTAACATCCGGGGCCCGTCAAGCAAGCTTTCTCAGCTGACAGAGGAAAAGGAAGAGGGACAGAGAGCGGGAGGGAGCGTCTCTGAGCACCTGTATGTCTGCAGTTGGCCCGACACCCACCCTGGGGGACAGGTGTGACTGCCCCGTCACGCTGACCGAGCAAGTCAGGTTCAGAGATGTTCCCAGTGGCACGCGGCTGGTAAATCAGGGCTGGGGCCGGCCTCACGGAGGAGGCCGAAGCCCACGCTCTTTCCACGACGCCACTGCCCGGGCCGTGCGGGCCCTGACAGCTGACGACACAGCGACGCTGGTGGGCGTTCAGAGCGAACGCCAGGCTGCTGGGAGTTGGAGGTGGTTTCCAGTGAGCAATGAAGAACTCGAGACAGGAATGCGGCCGGGGCCATGAATGAGGAGGGGGGAGAAAGGGCTTTACCAGGCAATGGCAGGACATGGGGGGGGGGATGCGCCGCCGCCCGACAGGGCTGGGTCTGGGATGATCTCGCAGCACCCTAAGTCGCAGGTCACAGCTGACGGCTCATAAACCGGCTTCAGCCAGCAGATATGTGTGGCCTGCACAGTGTCTCTGAATGTCTGAATTAGTGGTCAGAAATCAGAAGAGGTGGCCCCCGGGGCCTGCCTGGCCACACCCACCGAGGCTGGACGGGAGGCGCCCTCTTTTAAGGCCACACTTTGTGCCTGTGACCCCCTCCAGCTGCCTACTGTGCACAGCACGGGCCCCACAGGTGCCGGAAGGGTCTGCTTCCCCCTTGCCCAGCATGTGACGAGGCTCTGACCACGCACGAGACGGCAGCTCGCAGCACGACGTGGCCCTGGCCCTTCACGGGACCCCCATTCTAGAAGTCAGCTGGGGTGGTGCAGAGGAAGACAAGCGCAGGCCAAAACCATTGCTCTGCCACGAGTACAGGGAGTTCAAGAACCCCACGTGCGTGACAAACACGCTAAGTTCTTCACCAACCTCTCCTGGCCCCAGTAACGCAGTGACTTTGCCCCGTGGCTGTCACATGACGCCGGAGGGAGAACCGACCTCGTTGCTTTTTCGACCCACGTCACGCGGGTCAGGATGATCCCAGCTAACCACGGGCTGCTGGCCACAGAGCGGGGTCTGTGCCGGCCTTGCAGGTTCGTGACCTCTTCCGGCGGAATTCAGAACCCGCCCAGCACGGTGGACCACGGACTGAGGCCGCTGTGTCTTAAACACCTCGTTGTCGCTTCAATTTTCCTATCTGTGCCCTTCCGCCCACTGAAGGTGAACAGCCTCCCAGGCGGCCTGGCATTCCCGGTGGACTAAAGGAGCCCTGACGCCCGAGGCTGGCCTAAGGCTCCCGGCCCGTCAGGGAGTCACAGCCCTGGCCCCCGACGGCAGCCAGGCAGACAGACTTCACGGTCAACATAACCTCTCCCAATCCCAATTTTTGGGGCAAGTTAAAAAAAAAACACCACCACCTAATTTTGAAAGAATTATAGAAGCACAGCGAGTCGCAAAAATAGTAACGAAAGTCCTGGGTACCCTTTACCCAGCTTCCCAAAAGGTGACATCTCACGTGACCAAAGGACAGCGTCAACCCCAGGAACTGACATCGGGACAATACCGCTAAGCAGACCACAGGACTTACCCGGCCACGCCCCCGTGGGTGGCAACGCCCAAATCTTACTTCCCAGCCAACAGGAGCTGCACACGAACCCCGCGCCCTTCAGCGGGGACATTGTGCCGCGGGGAGGTACGGGGCTCACGTCTGCTACACGGGCCATCGGGGACCACCGGGGAGACTCTGTGACTGTCCTGGGAGCCCCTGGTCCCCGACACACGCGCGAACCAGTGCTCTGCTCTCAAGGTGCCCGTTGCCGCCCGAACCCCGCCTCTGCCTTTTCCCTCCCCGTGCTTCGTGTGAAGGGAGCCCGCGGTTCCCACGGCTGCTCTGGTTCTGAAAAGGCTGCCTGCAGTCAGGGGACAGAAATAGAACGCCCGTGGCTGCAGATCTCGGGAGGAGAGGAGGCAAGAAGAAATAGCTGCAGAGCCGACTCCCGACAGAGACCAAGCTCTTGTGGAAGGCAGGCCCTGCGCAGACCCTCCCGGGCAGGGGCGCTCGGGTCTCGGAGAACACCGTGTGGGGAGGGTGGGCTTCCAGGAGGAGGCAGCTTTCTACATCTGAAGGCACCCACCTGAGGAGCTGAACAATCTGGCAACACAAAGCCCCCTGCTTACGTGTTCAGGGGACACCAGCCCTTCCTCATCTCGACTCCCAGCGTCTCCCGGGGACTATTCTCAAACGCACAGCACAGAGGCCGCGTCACCGCCCAGGAGCTCAGGACGAGCAATCTCAGGTCTGTCGGCACCAGGTCTGCAGACTCCCGAAAGGTGGCGTGACGGTCACCTTTATGTGCCCGCTTGGCGAGCCCGTGGTGCCCAGCTGGTTGTCGAACGCTGGTCTAGATGTGCCGGGCAGGTATTTTGTTTAGATGTGATTCATATTTGAATTGGGAGACCCTTTAGCTGTGAGCCTGTGGTCCCAGCCACTCGGGAGGCCGAGGTGGGAGGATCTCTTGAGCCCAGGAGCTGGAGGCTGCAGTGAGCTGTGACAGTGACCACTGCACTCCAGCCTGGGTGACAGAGCAAGACCTTGTCTCTTTAAATCAATTAATCAGCAGACCCTCCGCAATGTGGGTGGGCCTCACCCAATCAGTCAAAGGCTTTAAGAGAAAATTCTGCCGTCCCTGGAGGAAGAGGGAATTCTGCCTCTAGACGGCTCTGGGACTCCTCCCTGGCGCTCCAGCCTGCCCTACAGATTTCAGACCTGCAGCCCCACAATCGCACGAGCCGGGTCCCTCGAATACATCTCTCGCTCGATCTAGACAGTCGTGCTCGCTCAACAACGGGGATGTGTCCTGAGAAATCTGTCCTTAGGCAGTTCCGTCACTGCGCGAACATCACGGCGTGAACTCGCACGAACCAACGGGACTGCCTACTACTCGCTAGCTCCTCGGCCGCCAACCCGGGCAGCGTGTGCCCAGTCTCGGCACGGCGGGCAGCTGCGGCACAGTGCTAAGCGTTTGTGCATCTACACACATAAAAACATAGCAAAGGCGCAGCAGAAACACAGAACTATCATCTGTGGGACCACCATGTGTTTGGTCCGTCATGGATGGAAACAATGTTATGGGGCATGACTGTATAGATACACACACGCACACACGAGCACACACGCACATGCGCACACACACGCATCGTATTGCTTCGGTGTCTCTGCAGAACCCTGACCAACAGACTAATAGTCCTGTAAACTCCACGTGCAGCCTTTCTCAAGCCAGCCTAAAACAGTCGAGGACGTTTCTGCAAATGTGCGTTTTAAATGTCCTCGAAGGCAGAGGCCACCATGGCAGGGAGCGCCACACGTGGCCAGTGTGGACAGGCGGCGCTGTACATCCCGCCCAGAGCTGGCCTCTTTCTGGGCCCGGGAGCCTGTCAGTGAGCAGAGGCCGGGCCACCTGTCCTCACCATGCATGGACTGCAGAGGATGAGGATGGGGACGGGCCGCCCGCCCCCCTGCCGCTTACCTTTCTGGCCATGATGAGGCCCGAAGGCCTGTGCTGCACTTTGGTGACCACCCCACCGTTGCCCGCGCCCAGCTCCGAGATCCGCTCAAAGTCGTCGTCCTTGAGCTCCCCGACCTTGGCCTTCTGGGTGAGGAAGGCTTCCAGACGCTTCTTCTGCTGCTCATCCAGTTCTAGCTCCTCGAGCTTCTTCTGCAGGTCTGCCAGGTTCGCTCTGTGGGGACACCGAAGGCGAGGATGAGAAGAGAGCCTGTGAGCTACCAAGAGGTGACTCCGCCGCGTGGCGAGGCGCCCTGGGCCCTGGCAGGACCCAGAGTGGAGGCAGACCGGATCCTGCGCTCCAGGGGCTAATGGTGCCGCAGGAAAGAGGGACATGTGCCTCTGTCCCCCGCCCCCAGACATACCACTGACCAGAACCAGGAACTGAGGACACTGCCTGCATCCCAGCTCACAAAGGCTGGGACATCTCCAGATCTTAAGGGCAAAGTACTAGCTCGGAGGACCCAGGAGGCCTCCTTCCTGACGCAAGAACTCTAGCCACATCTGGAGGCCATGAGTGAACCGGGGGACCGGGCAAGTGAAGCTCAAGGTAGGATGTCTGTCTTTGCCGAAGATGGAGGATCAGGTGTTCTGAGTGGCCTCCAAGCCAAGAACCACAACCAACAGGTGGGAGAAGTTGCAGCATAGAAGCTGCATCACA